ATATTACTTAAATTTATTTGTCTTATTTTTGTCTCTGATCCTTACAGCCGCGATGATTCTATTTCGATATTTTTTAATTTAAATAGATTTCTTAATTCGTTTTTGATATCTACAAATCACAACACTGTTCTAAATATCCATAGAAAAATGGTAAAAATAAATATCAAAATTATTAAATAACTACTATACCTACTACGTCACTAAAAGGATAACAAAAACAATAAAAAAAGAAAACAACACAAGTCCGATTATCATACCTACACCAGCTGATAAATGATGTCATCTCTATTACATAGCCTTAAGGGCTACTTTCCTCAAGCATACACCATCTGATGCCATAATACCGCTATGTTTTACAAATGCAATGTTCCATGTGCCTTGAGGTTTGTCTACATTGCATCAATCATGACGTCACGTTCACGTGCGACCTCTGGGTCAGATGATGTGGATCTCTAGGGTGATGCTGAACATAAATAAATGTTGGAAAAGGATTTTTTTTAATAGCTGCGTGCGTACCGAAGGACCACGTTTTGTTCTTCCCTTAAGGACACGTTGGATACATGGTGTGTCGTTGTATGGTTAGTTTTTTTTTGAGTAATGGTGATAACATGATTGTGGATAATATGGAAAAGGATGGAAACGAAATGATAATAATAATATAAAGATATATCTTTATATATAAAGATTGACATAAAGCTAAACATTCATAACGAGATTTTCTAGCCTTTCATTTAAGTAATAAATAAATTAATATTATATAAGATTTGCAAAAGAATATGTAGACTATATAATTATGATTTAGTTATTATTATAATCATTTGTTCTTTGTAAAATTGGACAAGAAGCATCTAATGTTGGTCATCAGTTAACGCTCCATCATAAACCAAATAACACGTTGCTCAAATCAGGAAATGAATTCAGATTATCAAATCTAGATTTGCATTCACTCATTATGCTAGTATTCGCACTACTTTGCTACTTTTAACAAAATATTTCAATCGTTGCGATGTTACGATTCTTTTTCGCACTTATGCAAGGTGACATAGAGTGGCATTTTAAACGCGTGATTTATGGCATGTTAATAATTTTTATTACGTGCATTTCGTAATGGACGCATAATTACTAAGTTGAAGGATGATATCGTAATTTGCATACCTTTTTTTGTTGACTGGGGGATACCTTCGAAAGACGTTTAGCTTTTTGGGGAAAAGTACTAGAGAGTGTGGGATTTTTACCTCACTAAAACTTCTCCGGTGGCCACCACCCCGCACCTGAAGAAGACACCGGGTCCTCTTAGTAGAGCAGCCCCGGTACCTGTATGGTGCACGCCTGTTACACCACCTCCCTATATACCTACTTCATACTTCTCTATTTTTAACAATACCTTTCCCATAGTTGGTTAAAAAATCAGTTTACACCAAATGAAACCGAATTTGCTGAAATTAGATCTTCTTTCATCGTGGTGGCCCGGAGGTTTAAGATGCTCGTGAAGTATGCGCATAAAATAGTGTACCTACATAATTATGGTCGTGCGATTTTCACCAACATACAGAATTATTTAAAAGATAAATTAGGATAGAGCAGAATACTTAGTTCAGGTACGTGATAGATTTGGACAAAGCGATTAGAGTACAGTTAAAAAATGAATACAAGATAAAATGAACCCATTCATTAGTTGTGCGGGTCTGCGGACGGCGAGCAAGGGTAGCTCGTCGTCTAACCAGAACAGACCCGTGCGCACGTGCGTACCGCGCGCGCCTTAAAGAGGCATCAGACCACAACAGATGGGGCCTAATAGGGCTGATACGGAGCCGCGGAAAGCCTAACGGGTTGCCGGGGCTCCGGCTCGAAGTGCAGGAGTAGGAACGGGGTGGTTTGTAGTCAATAAGAATCTGACACTCCTTCTCGCCTAACCCAAGGCAAGTATATATGATTTTCCCCTCAATTAAAACCTATTCTTTAGTGAATAATATCTAAACGATGCATAATTACTACGACTTGAAATGCAGATATTTATTAACTATATTATACAACTATACAGCAACAAAAAGTATTCCCACGCAGTTTTTTCAATGTTTCATTAATTACAATTTTTACTCACATTCAATTGCATATTACGTCAGATGCAATTTGCATAGCGGCAAAAAATCTAGGTCTAATTTCAAACACTTTTGAGTTTTAGTTTAGGAACAAAGTAGGTTTTTTAAGAAGGTTTTTTATAAGTGTGGGAGAGTCATGCTTCGGACCGGAGTGATACCACGGCCGCACAGAAAACCGATCTGAAACAACGCTTGCTTTGTGTTTTGTCGTGCAAGTGAGGCTGCCGGGTGCCCAATAACCTCCCCCCTCTCTTCTCCAATCTCCCCAATCCCTGAATCCCCAAAAATCCTAATTCCGGTAACGCACTTGTAACGCATTTGGTGTTCCAGGTGTTTATGGGCGACGCCGATTGCTTACCATCAGGTGATCCATCTGCTCGTTTACAGGTCTATTCCATAAAAAAAACTGATGCCCTATTTTCACCAAAGACCCCTAAACCATCTCTTAACTAAGAATTACTTAGCGAGACGTAGCACCTAAATTAACCCTTTACTTGTAATGTTAGGTATCACTCATAGGTTAGTGAATACCAAATTTGTCAACTACCTTAGCTTAGGTGTTCCTTAAAATTTAGTACACGTCGGTGAAAACGGGCCTTCGTTCAGTAAAAAACTAGATGTTTTAAGACTAACTATTAGTTCTTATACCCCAAAGGTCAGACTAGGTCATAACTTGGTCAGGTTATTGGCATTAAGCTCAAAAACAAGTTTCCATAATTCGCTACAAACGTGTATGGGAAATTACCGTTTTGCATAAAGAAGTGATATTATTATGTTTTATATGAGTTAATGGTGCCAATGTAAGCGGGTCGGTTAGACACGTGATTAAGCTAGTTATAAAACTAATTTAAGTTGCGATAACATAACATCACGCCTTTTATCCCCGAATTATAAGCGTCGGTGCACATTACCGCACTTATTGCCACTGTATAATGTAACACCCACTTTTCACTATTTATGTTATGAGTCCCATGTAATAGGGGGTCGGCCTATTGGCAGTGGTCTACGATGGGGCACGTCTGCCCCTATGCAACCTAATCACTGGAGCTCAGACCTCGAGCTTGTATTTTTTAAAATAATTATTCGAACCGACAAGCGACCTATGTTTGTGAATATTTATTACTTATGAAACTGATACACCGTACATAGTTTCAGATTTTGGAATAATCGTGAGGTTACATCTAAACTGCTATGATGTAGAGGTATAATGACTGCACGGTTGGTGTGATGGCTGGGCAACCGGCTGCCAAAGTTAAAAGTCAATTAGGCCAGAATGGCACTTTTAAACGTCAACAAATAAAAAAAATTAAAAGTGAAGCTATTTGCTCATTCCAAGGTGTAGATTCCTATGGAGAAGAACGAGCAAGAAACTCCATTGGTTTCTCTTTTCAATCAGGTTCACAATACAATTTACTAGTTACATAGTTTTCCTGTTTGGATTGTGCGAGAACAATGTAACACTAAAATCCAGTCAAAGTGATCAAAAAAGAAAATAACCTTAAGGACAATAATACAGTCTGGAGCTGCCGTGCAACGTGTCGCGGGTTCGATTCCCGCACGGAACAAAACTTTGTGTGATCCACAAATTGTTGTTTCGGGTCTGGGTGTCATTTGTATGTGAACTTGTATGTTTGTCAACGCACCCACGACACAGGAGATAATCGTAGTGTAGGGCAACGTTTAAAAGAAAAAAAAAATGAATTAAATTTGATTCTTGGAAGTCCCCATAAAATTACAAAAAGAACGAGTATCGTTTGTATTTTATAGAGTCTTTCCTGGTTCATTTAAGAATGCGAAATCGCCTTGAAATTTGGTTGAACAGGACACGTTTTTTATGGGGCTCTTGAACTATAGTTTTGTGGTTTTTTGAAACACGTGACCTGGGTTATGGTAACCGTATTTGGAAAAATATGTCATTTGATGACGTGTGTGGCACGTGGTTTTTTTTGAAAACTGGTAATGGTTTGAATTTATGATGTGCGATTAATAAATTATAAAATTGAAAGTTATAATAATACTAATTAGAAAATATCCTGTTCTTGAAAACTGGTGTGACTTGGTTATCGGAATGATGTGTTTTAACTTATGTCCGATTTAAAAATGCTAATCGAAATCTAGGTTGAACAAATAAAAAATCGACTTCAAAAAACCAAAAACTTATAATAAACACAAAAGTAAGGACTAAAAATCAAAAAATATCTATTATTAGTACTGATAGGTTGCCCATCTACTGATAGGTTGAAATTCGGCGCCATAAGTTCTAAACAAAATTATTCATTAAAACCCCTAATTTAGGTACAATTTTGTGGTCATTAAGTTATATCATTATGATATGAGCTAATGGCACCGACTCATCCTTTTTTTGAATTCGGTAAAAATTAAGAAAGCTTGCGTAATAAGCAACGAGGCATTTAAATCTGCAAATGTAGCACACATCCATTCACCCGAACAAATTTGGGAAGCAAATAATTAATAGGAGCCTACTAACATTAATCATCACTCACATTAATCGAATATAAAACTACTTTCAGACCTTACTAATTCATTATGATATCTAACTTTATAAAGGCACAATGTATAAAATCTTCACCAAAACGGTTACCTTTACTCAAATACGTCGCGAATAACAAAAGCTAGAAATAACAATAGAACAACACAAAGGACTACTTCTACCAACCAGCACAATAAACTACACCAAAACTCTTTAACATCATCAATCAATTTTCAACCTTAACCTCAAATTGTTAAGGTAAAAAATCGAATAAAGAAACTCACAAATTTGGTATAGTTTGATAAGCGTTTCCTGGTATAAGTTTTCGCACGTTTTCCTTGTAATCTCCAGGGCTTAGAAGAGACATGCTATAATGAATGTATGTGTATTTTTGTTACAGATCCAGAAAGATGAATCACAGGAGCCGAGCTCAAGTCCTTTGGGCTATATACACAGTATTTCTTATAAGTAAGTTAACGTTTTTTTATATTTATTTATTTCCTAGCTACTTCCGCGCAGTTGCACCCCCTCTGTTCGGCTCCTATTGATCGCAGCGTGATGTGTTATACCCTATTACCTTCCTCGATAAATGGACTATCCAACACAAGAAGAATTATTGAAATCGGTCTGGCAGTTCCGGAGATTAGCGCGTTAATACAAACAAACAAACAATCAAACAAATAAACTCGTCAGCTTTCTATAAAAGTTAAGAAGTATAAGATTAAAATGGCTTTGGTTTGGTCCATCCCTTAGCTATAGCTAGTATAGCTACATATTAGCACGAATGCCGAATTGGGGTCCATAAAAATATGTTCTCTGTCGTAGTAAGGAGTTCTGGTGAAACCGGTGACGGTTTATTCCTATGGAATCTGGTTTTTGAACCTAAATTATGTATTCATCTTTATATTATTTAGAAAATGAGGAGTGTTGAAAACAATATGTAATTCGCGAAAAATCGTGAATGTTTATAATATGTTTTTTGGATCCTTATATATATATTTGATGGGCCGACCTTCGACCACTATTTCGCCAAGTGGTAAGCGATGATGCGGCCTACGATGGAGCAATATTACAATGGATCCTGGAAAAATATTAAACAATTACTTGTACTGCCCCTAACTAAGAAGCATAACTATAAATTACAGTATGTACAAAACTGTTTAAGTATACAATGACCTCTTCTAATATGAACTCTATATTGTATCAACAAGGTCACTTGTCAAATGAAGATTATCACATTCTTGCATCAGTTTACACGGTCACTTGGCGGTACGTGCATATTATTGTGAAATATTTGCTCTTTTTATACGCTGGTAAATAAAAAAATATACATTCATACATACAAGACACCTAGTGGTGTCTACTCTTTATTTTTGTCATGTGTTATAGAAGTGGTATATACCGTGACCATTTATTTTTTGACTCGAAATAGTATATTCATTTATTTAGATTCAGTCAGGCATCTAGCAGCTAGATCCTATTATAGAACCTTTAAACACAAACTTTGTGACCACGGCAAAAAAGTTAATATACAAAAAAAAAAACAATTAGTCGAACATAGTACCTCCTCATTTTTTTGAAGTCGCTAAAAATAGAGGTACTTAAAGATTTTTCGAATGTACTTTTTTCAATAATTAACGAGTAATGTATGATGCTGTATCACTCTCGCACGCCTCTCGAATATGCATATTCAAATTTTCGCTGGGTTTCCAAAATGGGACAATTTTGCGTCCCAGAGTTCTTTTCGGGGACAACGGGACTCGAAATTATAAAAAGTTCAAAACGGGACGTCTGGTCACGTAACAGCATGTAATACAAACATTAACGGCATCTATACATTCGGAAAGAATCAATCCGAGCGTATGGTACGTCGCGTTCCGCGCGCGCCTCAAAGATCCATCAGACCACCACAGATGGGGCCACGGATTATGCCGATACGGAGCCGCGGAGGAGTTAACGGGTTGCCGGGACTCCGGCTTGAAGTGCAGGAGTAGGAACGGTGTGTTTTTTAGTAAGAGTCTGACAACCCCTATCGGTGTAGCTAGGCAAAGTCAAAGTCAAAGTCAAAGTCAACGATTTTCCCCCTTCAAAAAATAAAAAAAGGGTTTGATGTCATATTAGGTATTATGTTACATTCAAAACTTTTGACGATGAGATTTTAAAATATGCAGCACAAAAAGCAATTTCAAATGTTTTTATTGAGACTTTATTCAATTTATGCTTCTGCTGCGAATTATTTAGAACATCAGTTCAACAAACGCATTTACTGTTTCTCGTAAAGAATTTAAGATATGCTGGAGCAGATTGTTCGTAAAACTACAGACATTCAATACAGATTTTCAAAATAAACTTTTTATTATGACATTACTATACAAATGGCTGCTAAAAAGCTTAAGTTCACTGCAGAATAGAGAATTTAATCTGAAAGAATTAACGCTACAATTTTTCGTTGAATATTTTTGTGAAATCACGCAATTTATTGCTACTTTCAAGTGAGATTGAGTTAAGTATTTTTTGGGTTCTCGAACAATTCTATTACGAAGTCAAAGTCGATGACAATGATCCGTTAAGTCTTCCGCGGCTCCGTATCGGCATCAGCCCTATTGGGCCCCATCTGTGGTGGTCTGATGGCTCCTTGAGACGCGCGTGGAATGTGTCGCGCCGTACGTTAGGGTCTGGTTCTGATCGAGCGGCGAGTCATCCTTCTCGCCGTCCGCAGACCCTTACGATGGCCGGAGATCGTCTCGTGATCCCCGACGCCCGGAGTGTCTCTCGCGACGGCTGGGGCGTGAGGAGGTTCGTTCCCTCACGCGCTCTGCCTCTTCCTTAGCTAGAATGACTGCTTCGCAGAAGACTGTCACATCACCTAGAATAACACATAAGCTACTTTTATACCACGAGAACGCGAGTGAAGCTGGCAGAAGCTATAGAGTTTATAAATGAAACGCACTTTTATAATACAGAACCCATTGAGTACTTACCTTTTAAAACTTCGCCAGATTTTTTGTACCGTCTAGACTTAGGTATAATCTTTTAAATATGTACTAAAAACTTTATAAAAAATTGGTTACAATGAAAAATGTTGGACATTAATAATGTTATTAGTTAATCATTTTGAAATTAGCTGACACTTGTAAATAGCCTTTTTTGCTAACTTTTTCTTTTTAAAATCTCATTAAGTATTAAGTATTTTGCTTGAGTTAAATTTTAACTTTCGAAATTCATTAGGTTGTTTTAAGCAGTGTCTAAATTGATACAAATGCGTAATAATCAGCCAATGTCAAAGAAGTATCCGGTTCCATATTTCTTGAAGTATGACTTTGCGCAAACCCTTTAGTTGATTATCAAATTATCCAGGACGAAAAACTATAACTGCCTTTTTGGTTTTTCGAAAATTAATAGTACCTGTACAATGTAACACCCACTTTTCAATATTTATGTTATGAGTCCCATGTAATAGGGGTGAGCCTATTACCATATACCGGGCACATTTCCAGACTCCGTGCTACTACTGATGTTTTTACAAACCCAGTAATACTTTGCCCGACCCGGGAATCGAACCCGAGACCCCTTGCCTGGCAGTCGCACTTGCGACCACTCGGCCAATGAGGCAGGGCATTAAGTGCCGTAATGTGCACCTCTGCCTACCCCTTCGGGGATAAAGGGCGTGATGTTATGTTATGTTATAATAGTAGGTACCTCTGATTTTCTTTTTAAAAAGCCAACACGAGGACAATACTCCAGTGACTCCTCTGGTGTTGCGGGTGTTCATGGGCATCAATGATCGCTTACTATCAGGGGATCCATCTGCTCGTTTGCTTCCTATTCCATAAAAAAAGTTTTCAATCGAGTTTAGATCTGAATATCACTTCTAACTTCTAACCAATACACCAAATCATCAAACAGTCCTGTCATAACTCCCAAACATCATTAGTCTATCATAAAAACAAACTGCGAACAAAATGGTCCCCAAACCACAACAAATTTTGACAAACAACTTAAGAAAATTTTCTTAAGGGGGAGAGAAATGTAAAAAAATATATTTTTTATACACAGTATCGTTAGCTCTTGAATTATTATGGAAATCCTCTCGACTTGGGTTAAGCGTTCGACCCCACTTGTATTAAGATTTTTAAGAATTCTCCATTCCATCATTTCGATGGGTACTCGATGAGAAATTAGCTTAAAAACATCTGTTTGGAATAAGCTTCGGTTATATTTGTATTCTGTTTATTTTTTTTTATTTTGGTGTAAGATTTTTTGCTGAAAGTGTTGTTTCATGTTCGGTGTAGGGAAACTTTTAAGGCCTCTCTTAGTTGTGAAGTTCTTTATAAACAGAAGAATGCATCTTTTGCCTTATTATCTATCACGATCAGCAGACGACTTCTGAGTGAAAATTATTTACTGAAGCAAATCCTAGATGGCCTACTCACTCTTTGCTTATTATATACGTCTTTTTTATATTAGATGGGACTGACGTTTGACCACTATCCCACCTGCTGGTAAGCGATGATGTGGCCTACGTTGGAGCACGTCGTCCCATAAGCAACCTATTCACTCGGGCCTTGAAGACACCCTTCAGGAAATACAGACTCTGGCAAAGAATTCCACTCCTTAGCAGTACGCACAAGGAAGCTTGATGCGAAGCGCTTCGTGCATCACGGGACATCTACCATGAATCGGTGACGCTTCGCCGATTGTCTTGTGGTACGATGATGGAAAGGACTAGGGGGAGATAAGTTGTGCAATTCCCCCGCACGTCTCACGTAATAGTAGCGAAACCTATTACCATACACCGGACAGAATCATATCCAGATATAGTGGCTGGATTACCAGATCAGTAGCTATTGTTACACTTAATTATACAGCGTGTAACTCAAACACTTCCGAAACGCGGACCAAAAGAAATTGTTATTAATTTTTGTTTGTTTTTCAATTTTAATCGTTTTTGAAAAACATTGAATTCCTCTCTTTTATAAAAATACAACTTGATTTTTACAGGCGTTCTTTGGAAGCGTCGAGTTTATACCCTGTTTAGTTTTTATTGACTTCTTTAGAACTCTGTTAGGCTCAGTAGCAAATTAAGTGCTGTATATATACTTAATCAATCTTATTTTCTTATCTGCATACCGAATAATAGGCTAGTTTCCTAAATTTTATTTTAATGTCTGTCTGGTACATTAATTTAAAACTTTAGACACGTATTTTTTCTTTTCTCACAAAATTAAATACTTTCGATAACATATTAATTTGAAATATCGTGTGACGTCACAGCATGCCACATTTAGTAGCACGTTATGACGTAACGATCTCCCACTCCTAAACTTAGCGCCATTTTATCTAAATATTGCAACTTAATACGAGAAAATAAAAAAATACGTGTCTGATATTTTTTCATTGTCTATTTGACGAACTAATTAGATTTTTAATTTTGATACCCTGGAAACTACCCAATTGTACTATAGCAG